GAGGAGGAGGAAGAGCCGGAGATACCCTTCACTCGGAGGCAATCCGATCGGATCAAGGCAAGGGAAGCGGCCGAAGCAAAGGCAAGCAAGAGAGCTTTTTTGTTAAGACAAAGAGGAGCTTCTTCGAAAAAAAAAGATATGATTCGAGAAGCAACAAAGGCTGGAACAAAAATCCGACAAGTATTCAAGGCAGCAGGAAAGCTTGGAAAGCTTGAGGGTATTGCTCGTCGTGTCCTTGAGAAAAAGGGAAGTCGAAGAGCCTATCAGATCCGGAAAAGGAACTTGCGTGCCTTGCCCATAAGGAATGAAAACAAGAGCAAGAGGAATATAGAAGCAATGAGCAAAGTGCAGGAGGAACCAAAGGCACAGCAGGAAACAGCGAAAGAGACTCCACAAAGCAACACCAAAAGCAAAAGAAGAAAAGTCGATTCAAGGCCAACTTCAATTTGCTGTGTGAAGGATCGCACTGTTCGAGCTAAGTTTGCTGTAGCTGCTAAACATATTGATGACTTGCAGCATTGCAGCACATGGGAGAACAGTTATGACCGTAATGAGAAACCGATATCACAGCACTTCATGTTTACATATGATGAGCTGGTGCAGAAGCCACACTGTGCTCAAAACAGCAGAATCAGAAGACCTGCTGGGCCTGCTTCTATTTTCCTCTGCCCAGAAGGTTTTAAAGTCAAAGATTTGGGTCAACGACTAATCAAAATTGGAAAAGAAATGATGAGAAAGACCGGAGTAGGGTATCGCTGTACTAACGATCAAAAGGAATATTATGATCTAGTGTTTGGTGCAAGYGACAAGAAGTAAAAAGTTAGTTTATAATTATTTTAGTCAGTTGATTTATTTATTGTTTGTTTCTATTGAACCCAGCGTCGCTGGCGCTGCTAGCAACCATTGCTGGAGAGTGATAGTAGTAACATGGACAGTGACGCCATGCTTCGTCAATTTGACRACCAAACTCAAGAATYGTGGAGCTAGCTGCCTAGAGCAGGCAATGCCATTAGCAATCATGATAGGATTGCTATACCAGCAAGATTTATATTTATTCTCCATTCGAAACAAAGGACTGGATCAAAGGCCCAATTCTATTGTATTCGTGTAGTGAAAACTTGAAAATTAGCCTCTCCTCCGAAGTACCAGCACCACCAGAACCAAAATCTCCAGTGATCCTCATCCTTCCAAATAAATGGTTACCATTTGCACTTCCGACTCTTCTAAAGTCAAAACAGCACGTTGTGTCTTTCAAGTCAATAGTAAACAAAGGCTCTTGTGGCATCGGATCCGTACTGAAAACCCAAGAGCTCAATCCTTGGCCATCAAATATTCTTAAGAYRCTTTCTTCATCCACACAAAGAAAAGTTTCATCAGCAAAACGCGTGGGTCTCTCTCCATTTAAGAGATCRCGGAAACACATGGCGCAATAGAAGGTCTTCACGTTGGCAAAAGGCATGATAGGAGGTGGGTTCCTTTCGGTGTTTGCKGTCGATAAAATAATGGTGCAGCTTCTKGATAAGAGTTCTTACAACTGAAAACTCAAAATGAACAGTTAGAAATTTTTGATTCACTTTAAAATGTGACAAGTTGGCTGGCGTCCGCCGTCAGCAAAAATTGACTTGTTCAAATAGCACGCATACTCAATAGTGATTCCTTTTTTCTCTGGATATCAACCATAATTTGAGAACAGCGAAAAAGAAAGCAAAAATCAATATGAATACTAACTCAATCCCAGAATTTGTGGACGTTGGAAATGGCAATATCAAGATTGTCTTAAGCAACTTCACCGGTGAACTGATTGCAAGAGATATCGTTGCGTTGACAAGATATATGGGTTGTCCTATTCCTAAGCAACCCACCAGTGAGCCCAACGGAACTAGAGGTCCTCCCRTCGGTGTTGCTTCCGAGGCCAGATCAAGCAGAAAGAATGTGGAAGAAGAGAAAGAAAGAAACCATGTGCCCTCACAGCCAGTTGAAGAGGGAATCGACCACCCAGCAGATCAAGAGGATAACACTTCAGTCAACCTCTTGGAAGACAGTACTACTGGCGACGACGACAGCAGCACTGTTCCTGAGTTGAAGGAAACTGCTGAGGGACTCAATGTATCGGTTGCTTATGATGATGACATTGAGTACGAGCCAGAGTTGTCCCAGCAAGTCAGTTATTGGAAGTATTAATAGCAACGTCTGTTGCATACAGTTCTTTAAAGTATTTAGTTGTCAATTGATTACACAAGCAATCTTCTGATTGAGTAGTACTGTATGATGGATCCGGGACAGGTAGTATCACTCCRAGGTGCGCGGAGCGTAAAAGAGAGAGTTGCGCGCCTAAAGTAATGATGGATCAAGAGTGACTCAAAAAGTGGTACGTAGAAAATACGTAAAATTGGTRGGAGTATCACCTTTTTTGTTCGGAACAAATGCTTTTTTGCTTTTCTTCACATCTTTGTCTCATGTGTGAGCATACTGCATGACCACAAAAATGCAACAATCCGCCRAATAGAAGGTTCCTGTCATGTTTCCAAGGATTGCTCAAGGTTTTCACGAAGTAACAAGATGTATCATAGAACAGAGTCACGATGCGCCTGTTTATGTTGAGGCATGGTCACCGCTTTATTGCGGAGGGCGTCGTTGCCTGTTGGGGATGGGCTCTTTATGACAACAGCGCCGTGATGCAACAAATGCTGTTGGTAACTCTTCGATACTTCATRTTACCCTCTCTTTATTTGCGTYAGTGGTGATCCTTCTGTCATGTTTAACTCTCCATTCAAGAAGAAGAACAAAAAGAAGAAAAGGAATGTTTTCAACATCTTGCCACCCCCAAAGAAGGAACTACGTGAATCTCTGCTGAAGACGTACTCATCGAAGGCCAGAAATCCATCGAAACTACCAATCAATATCTGGATGAATAATTACAAGAATCTCGAGGAGAATTGGATACGTGAGCTACTAAGTCATGATCTAGATTCTACTCGGAATTCGTTTTCATTGTGCTTGCTTTACTGCTTCTTCATTAGTCGGAATGACAATACATTTGAAAACAGTGTGGGAAAGTCTGGACAAAGACAGTATTGTAAAACAAAATTTATTCAATTCCTACAACAAGAACTTGAAGGGCAGTACGCAAAGTGCATCCGACTGATACGTGGTGAGAAACGGCAAAGTTGTTTGATTACAGATGAGATGGTTTCTGAGTTTGTATCCTCAATTGAAGAATGTAGCAATTTTGTTTGGTCGAAGACRAATAAGCTTTGCCCTCTTGAGTCTTTTCTTTCAAAAAGAAATTCCATTTCGGGATCTGGATGGTTGCGAGTCCTTTTATTCCAACACGAAGGAGATGAAGGAGACATGAAGCCCTATAAAGAKCCATGCATGGTAGTTGTTATTCTTTATACCATTATTCGGGGATTCTGTGGGAATAGTGCTGTAGTATCTGTTGCACTTGGCAAGAAAGGATCGAAGAATGACAAACAGTGGCTCCGATTACTTGCCAATGAAATGGTTTGTACTTTTTTTCAAGGAAGGGAAAGAAGAAAACCATCTCCCCCATYAAAGAGTGTTTTAACAGCTCCTACAGCCTCAGTTTCTGCTGATGAGTTATCATTGTCAGCTTGTAGACAAGAAACCATCTCCCCCATAGTCCTACCCAAATCAGTATCGTTCACGGACAGGAAAGAGAACAGCACTTCACCATTAACTACCGCCAGCGATTCGACAACATCTGCCGAGGATGAGGATACAACACCAGATACTGTATTTATGCCAGAGGAATCAACACCATCAACTAAAACTTCATCCGCAATGCAATTGCAGGAGACTCCTCTTTCTTCACGGGAACCACTAGATATGACTCCAGGAACACATGTAAAAAAGAGGGCTTGTCTCGCTTCAACTCCGGTGCTAGGATCTCCTGTTTGCAATAGAGCTCTATTTCAACCTGTTCACTGYGAGAAGRATACAAGCAAAGAAACCAATCATTTCTGTCAAGAATCCCGACACTTTCTACATTCTTTAAGTGCTGCTCAAAACGACCAAGATCTTGAAAGAATAGCGCTTGACTTTGTTTCATTGCGAGCTGGTGATGGTGGCAACTTGTTAGATAAAAGGATCTATCCTATCCCCTCACGGTCGCTACGGGTCACTACGAGAGGAAAGAGCCGTGACAAATACTTGCGTAAGGCGGCACAGTCCGTAATGAATTTTGTCCAGAGTACTGTACTAAGTTCTGCAAGGGGCCCCTCAAGTGATAAGGATGTSCAGAAGATGGTGCTTATGCAGACACTYGAGCGCAACTTTGATGTGAGGACTGTGTGCTGTGAACCCGAGGCACAAATTTCATCACTGGAAGTAGTTGAAATTCGAAATCGATCAGGATGGGGTGTATCAACGTCAGTTATAACTTCAATAATAAAGGATGTCKTGACCCTGCTCCGTAAGAAGAAGATGTTGGTAAAAGATGACAAGGTATTTGAAACACAGCTTAGAAAGAAGATTGGCCTGCTTGAACGTGTCAGCGCAGTTCCTTCAAAATTCAAATATGTCGAGTGCTACGTGACAAAAGAAGATTTTGAAAGGTGTGTTTACTATTACATTGAGAATGTGCCTTTACTAATGGAAAGGCTTGTATCCAGTTGTACAATGGAGGGAGAGATGGAAGATTCAATAACATTCTCKTCATATGAGAACAAGGTGATCTTTCGCTTCSGAGCTGATCGAGGGGGAGGAGACCTAATCATGATGATTGCTCTCGCAAATCGCCGTAGAGGCAATCATGGCCGCTTTTCAATTCCTATTGGTGTTGTAGAGGGAGCAACAGAAACATACTCAAACCTAGTGAAAACTTTGTATTCCCCTGATCGAAAAGCTATCCTTGAGCAGCTTGTCAACCAACAGCTTCTTCTGATTCGAATTCAATTCTTTGTGGAGGAGAATACTTCTGCCGCGCCGCAAGATGTGAAGTGTCTCTTGCTACGATTGGTGGGGATGAAGCGACAGGAGCTATCTTTGGCAAAGGTTGTGTGTACTATTGGTGGTATTGAGTACATTGGTATACCACATACACAGATGCCCCAATGGAAGTCGAGAGCGCTTGGACGCGTCGTTGCTGATGACGCCACCATCACTGACAACCTAACTTTGGTGACATGCATTGATCACCAACAGCTACATTTGAAGCTACAACTAGTTCAATCACAACACCATTCTTATATTGGTTGTAGAGTGCTAACTGAAACAACGATGGAAGAAATATTCTCTTTTGAATTCGACCAAGGTGTGAACGCACAAGATATAGACCTAAACAACACAATGGTKGATTGCTTGCAGGTAATGGGTGTGCCATGTGAAGATGGCAAAATGTGCACTACAGTATACGGCCTTTCAACTTGTGGATCATCTTACCCCTGTCCCAAGTGTCTATGGCCACTGCGTGAAGGCGTTGCACCAACTTGGGTGAAAGACCATGCGACAGAACAAGAAAGCAACACCAATCCACCAGCAGTAGGAGTGCAAACAAAAGACTTTACTGAAAGAAGAGGAAAGTACAGTCGGAATGAATCCTATTATCATTTCACAGCACTAATTGGTGATACAACTTGTGATCTACCGCTTCGGTTGAAGAAGGATGTCTTCAGTGTCGTCCACAGGCCATTATTGCATATTGATGACGACCTTCTATATCTTCATACTGGTGATCCAATGCACATATCCCAAGGCATGATGACTCACTTGACAGAGGAAACTGCTGTCCAGCTCCAGAAAGCAACTGAATCAGCAACAGAATCTGAACCAGAATTTGTCAAAGACCAAACAACAAAAGTGAAAGCATTTATTGAGGTGATGGCATCGCGAGTAAGCTCTTTGAATTACAAGCATGCATCSAACCAATACAAGGAAGAAGATCGTTTAGTAAAGTTAGYATTCAGGGAACTACGTGCAGCTGAAGACGACGAAGATGTGGACAAATGTTATGAAGTGTATACAAGCGCAGTTACGAGAAGAGATGAAGTAGGCCAAGCACTTGGTTACCAGGAAACCTATCGGAAATTCAATGGAGCTGAGGAGTTGAAGTCTCTTCTCAAAACTTTTGAGAGAAGCAAGAAGAAGAATTATACAAAAGCTGTATATCTTTTCATGAAAGCTGTCAAGACCTTCGCTGGTGGTTTCAATAGGAACCACGGCCAGTATGAATTAACAAATGCTCGCGGAATCAAGGCGCTTCAGAGCAATGAAGAAATTTATAATGTGGTTGTCAATGGATGCGATGATCCTGCTGTAGTTGATATCATGACTTGGTGGCAAACTTCTGCCAAGCTTCTCTTGAAAATTTCGACTGCTTTGAAATCTCAGGACAAGCAGTGCRACTTCGACATTCTCAAATTAAAAGAAAGCGTCGCTAACTTTACACAGCTATGGGTAAAGCGCCTACGAACTTATGAAAATAAGAATCCAATCTACTGGAAGATGCATATGCTATTATGTGCCTTGATTCCCTTTATTGCGAAGACAGGGATGAGCGGACGTTGCTCCACTGAAGGCTTTGAAAACAAACACCATGTAATGAATCAATTAAGAAGGCTTATGGCGCCAATTGCACAAGACAAACTTCGATGTGAAAAGCTCTCACAGCGCCAGCAATCTTGTCTTATTCCAGGTATCGAAGAAGTGCACTGCCTTTTTGAAGAAGAAGACTATAAAAGACAGAAAGGTCCTCGCGGCCGTTATCGTTCATTCGGTACGAGGACAAAACTATTAGAGGACCTTCCGATTGCTGACGGAACCAATCTTGAAGCCGAAGATGTCGTGGAGGGGTATTTTGTTTCAAAGAAGAGCAATTTAATTCCAGTTGAACTGCAGGATTTTTATGATTACATGCTCCTGGGCAAGGTTTCAGACAGTTGGTCGCAAACCTTTGTGGACAGTGAATTCCTTGGATCGAAGGCATCAAACTCTGCMCAGTACATCCCTCCATAACACTTCTTGCTGCTGGCTTTCAACAACAGGAGCGATAACAACAATAACGCTTTGAGCATTCACACGTTACACTACACTGTGTTCTCGATGTCGCTAGGCGGAACGGAGGATGGAAGATAACGCTGGTCACCAGTATGTCGTGCGTAGTAGTATGCTGTGTTTGTGGTGGTGAGCCAAAAGAAAAGCAAAAAAACAAGCAAATACTCATCCCTAGTACAAATTCCTCGTAGAATTATACGGCAAAATTGGATATCAGGGGGGATATACTGTACAGTTTTYGATATTTTCGATATTTTTATTTGTCAAATTAGCCAATCAGATTGCTTGATTCCTACTGAATTTTAGTATTAACCCTAACTCTAAATAAACGCCAAAGTCGAACGAAAATCCCCAAAATGAGCGTTTTGAACAGCTGTGCTTCGGTACGGTTACTCCTAAGTACTAAGTAGTTAGTGATCCAATTTGAATCTCAAAATACTACTGTATGTCAAAATCAAAATTCTTTGAAAAATCGCGCGAGGATGAAAATCCCAAGTTCGTACCGTACGGTACGTACCATACGGTACTGCACCAGGTTCTTTCTCTTTGCCATCACTATTACCGTAGTGATCTTTGGAACTAAACTTTATTCCTAGCACTGCGATTGAACACATTGTTGTTTGTTGCAAAATTTGCGCTTCTGAAAATGGTTCTACCCCTCTACACGTTGTACACTCCCCCTGGTTCATTTTTCGCTTTCGCACCTCTTATTGTATCAGAATATGTAGGCGTTACGGTCGAGTTAGAAAAGACAGGAAGTATCGAACAACTCATTGCTTCGAAGTCTCCGACGGGTGCGTCTCCGATTTTGGAAACACAAAACGGAGAAGTGATCGTATCTTCGCAAGCCATAGCAAGATTCATTGCAAGTCTGCGGCAGGATACAAACCTCCTGGGTTCCGATTCCTTGCGACAGTCGTTGGCTATTGAATGCTGGACAAACTGGGCAGCGCAAGAATTAGAATTGCCTGTGTGTGTTTGCTGTTATATCACAAAGGGGTGCACACCCTTCAATGAAAATGTGGTAAAGAAAGGAAAGAAAGATATTATACGTGCCCTTAGCGTTTTGGAGTCACAACTTGAGAAACAAAGCAGTAACAAGAACAAAAAGACCTCCCAAACTTGGCTTGTCACTAAGGAACATATAACACTAGCGGATATTACTGTGGCTTGCACCCTTGTTTATCCGTTTACATTGGTATTTGACAAGGCTAGTTTGTCTTCCTTTCCAATGGTTGTATGCTGGTTTGAGAACTGTATGAAAGAACCAGAATTCGTTGCTGTACTAGGAAAGATAGAATGTGGCAGGCACGAAAACACAAACTTCTAGATCTGAAGTCAACGAGATACTTGGGGAAATAGTAAATAGCACCAAATCGCGGTTTGTAGTTTGGGACTAATAATAGTTCAAACGTGTTTAAACGAGGAACAGACTCGTAACTTTTTTAGTGCTCTTGCTGTAACGAGACATAATTGTTGCGAAAAAAATCTAACGTAGACTACATTTACTTCGACACAGAGTGATATTCCGGACAAAATTGTTTCTTTACATTCAATAATTTTCCTAAAAGAAGAGAGATATAGGATAACTTCCAAGAAATATTTGGACAGGAAAAAATTGAAAGTTATAATGCGTTCTACTTGCATTGGGGAGAGAATTTTTTCATTCAAAATCACCACTTATGTCTTCAGAAGTTGACTCGTACTCAATCAATGCGATTCAAAATGGTGCCGCCACCTTATCTCTGATTCTTCTTTTCTCGTTGTTGTCGTCTCTTCTTCGCACGATCTTCCTCCCTTACTTGTTTTGTTCTGCGACGATGCTTTGCCTTGTCAAACATGTGATATTCATCCGTTTGGCCGCTTTCTTCTCGTGCTTCTTTGAGTTCGTCTGGCACTTGGCCCGGTCTTCCAACAAAGGTTTTCCATTCTTCACGAAGTTTGACTGCTCCCAATGGAGCACCACGGGGTTTCTGGATGTGCTTTGGCTCAGCAGCTGTTACTTCTGCCTTTTCTTCGTTCCTCAAGTCACTATAGAAGATGGCCAAGTCGGCACCGAATTGAAGGCATTCTTCAGTAACGGTTGGACCTCCACGACGATTCTGAACTATAACATGAGCACCGGGGCATCCTCGCGAGTGCATCCATATATCATTGCCACGAGCAACTGTCATACTCAAGTGCTCATTTCCTCTACGATTTCGTCCTACCAATACAATGCATCCACCAGGAGATATTAATTTCCGTACGTTTGAAGCGGGTGTACCGAGAGCTGGTTTCCGTTCTCTCCTATTTTGACTGCTTCCTTTTGATTTTGTTTTGCTGTTGTCGTCTTCTATAGTTGGTGCTTGAAACTTCGTCGCACGCGCCGTTCGAACCAACCTTTCCTTAACAATGGCCAGACGGCCCTCATCAATGCCTGTTTCTCCGTCTCCCCCGCATGCTGATTGTAAGTCCAATTCAGCTTCGGTTAAAACTTCCCATGCTGTATCAGTTTCTTTCAGCAAGTCGGCAACTATCCTAGAGCCCCGCTTGAGTTTTCGAACGATAGAGAATAGGGCATCTGCCTCGTCCGAGGCGCTGCTGTACTTTCCAGTCGAATCCAGAGTGAGTTCTACTTCTTTTCCGTCGTTCTCCCAGTCGTTTACAATTGCTGACTTGACGCCGTCTTGAAACAAATATAGATTCGATACCAAAAGCTGCGCGCGTGCCTTTATAGCCTCGACATCTTCAGCTTTTTTAAGCTCGGATTGAAGCGAAGTGCGTTTCTTTTTTAAAGTTTTGAGAGCACTGTCGACAGCATTGGACCATGCCTGATGTTCCTGAAGCAACACTGTTGATTCATTACCATCGGTATCAATTTCTTGGTTCCCCGCCGTTTGTTCGTCCATTTCCTTATCCCACCTTGAGGTTTCGGAAATGCCCCATCTATCCGAGGTTGCAGATGTTGACATTAGGAGTTGTGTATGACATTGCGTGCCAAAGACTTGCTGTGTTTTCTGGTCTAACAACGACATTTTTGAACATCGTCGCAATACGACGCAACTGCTGTTTTTCCACGCTATGTTTGATCTCTCAGACGACCTCATTAAAATACTCGCCCTACAGATATCTCTTGATGGAAAACGAAAGCAAGCAACCGGCGAAAATATGTTTGAAAAAATCATGCACGAACATTGCCAGAAGAATATTCTTTGCAACCAAGTCCTTGACGAACGAATCCGTCCGACAAATTTATGTGGAACCATTGCATTTATTTCCCCCTCTTATACATGTAAAGAAAGCAATATACTCTTTAGCGTCGGAAATGTTGGTGTATTTCCTTTCAATGAAAGAAATGCATTTTTAGCCCTCGGACGTCAATTGATGCATTTAATTTTCAGCGTGTTCATAAAATTCGGGTCGCGCTCGATGAGGTGTAACATTCATGGTTATTCAACTTCGGTGAATAAATTTCGTACGAGTCGTCGTCCAGGGGTCATAATTTAGACCCCTGTCGTCGTCATCATCCTCGAGATTATGGTTCATGTTTTGCGGCTTAGTCACGAATAGTTACCGGTGAGAAGCAACCTCATTCTTAATACTTCTAACCGTAAACTGTGTATGACACAGTATCGTACTACTACGTAATATTGTTACCATCATGATACTTGCACAGGTACACTGTACACTACCGTAGACACTACTAGAGAGCATGAGGGCTATGGTGCTGTGTTTGAGTGAGTTTAGTACAGATGCTTTGTCCAGGCATTGGTCTAAGGCCCATGTAGTGCTGGAGGCTGCAGTTGATAGGTCTCTCATGAGGGCTTGGTTCCTTTTGAGTGAGGAGTGTGTCTTTGAGGAGCCATCCTTGGTGGTCAAGTTGATCTTTACTAGTAAGGTGTTGGATGGCTTTGTGTGCTTGTGCTAGGACTTGTTGAGCATTAGCAAGGTCTCTATCCTTATGAAGGAGGGCTGAGTCATGATCAGATTTCAGAGTCTGAAGTGTCGAGTTGAGGGAGTTTAATTGATCCTCTGTCCATTCACCATTTGTTGCTGTAGTAGCAATCTTCATGGTCCATGATTCTTCTTTCAACATGATGGCTCTATTGATTAGTCACAATGTGTTTGTGTTGGTGGTTGATGTGGAGATATGATCACCGCATAGGGCCTTGGGGGTGTTGGTTGGTTTTGGATCTTCTGAGTCAGAGGAGGAAGACTCAAAACTATCCTTTAGGTTGTTTAGTACTAGTCCTTGATCAATGTGGTGGAAGCATTCATCATACTATTCATCCAGTTGATTTGAGACAGATGCTGGGGGTGAGGTTGATTTGGTGTTTTGTTGGGGTGTGTTACCACCAGTGATTGCCTGTTCTCTGCTTGCTGATTGTGCCTGTTGGTATTCACAGGCAAATTGAAGGTGGAGATCCTGTGGAGGCACTGCTGGTGGAAGTGAGATGGTTGAGTCAGGGTCTGAGTCTGAGTCAGTGCTGTTCAGTGGAGGTGAAGGGGGAAGATCTTTTCTGTTTTGTGGTGGGGTCTTCATTTTATGTGTTGCACTTGCTGTTTGTTGCCGTGTATTATCGGGACTTGAATCCACCAGTCTTTGAGGTGTTTGGATTGTCTGTGGCTAGAGATTGAAGCAGGTGGTGTTTCCTGACCAGTAGGAAGAAGTGTGTCCAAGTAATCCAAGAAAGTACGGCTGATGGAATCAGTTTGTTTGAAGTGATTGTGGTGGAGCAGTTCTTCAAGTGATTTGCGGACCATGACAATCTTGTCAGTTCTTGCTGGTAAGGCAGTGTAAACCGGAAACAGAACAAATGTATCAAGAAGTGGAATTGCCAAGATAGTATGAGTTCACATGATTAGTGGCAAAATTTAGTGAGCAGCTGGTCGGTTGAGGTGCAAATGGATTGTGGGACTGAAAACCGTTGAGTCTAATGACTAGTCTTTACACGATAAAAAGATAGCCCAAAATTGTCGCATACTATTGTGTAGCGTTGGCCAGCCAATGTACGGTTATAACCTTGGATTTGTGACCATCTTTTTCCTGTGTAAAATTTGTCGAGCGCGCTGAAATCTTGTCCAAACACACCATTTTTTCTATAGAATTTTTGTCACGATGTCTGTCGGAGTGCTTGAAATAATTTCTCGATGAACATATTTACCTAGAATAACATCCAATGTTGCACCTCCAATGTTGCATCAATACTGATCCTTCATGATGCATAGCAGGGAGGCAACTCATTGTCCATTGTTGGACACAGAGGAGTCCTCACAACCATGTGCTGAAGCTACCATAATTCCAGTGCGAGCGCTTCTTGTTCCGACAACCGACATCTTCTTGCCCCCCCTCCATCGACACTAATCAGCATCCTCACCAATAAGCAACACTAAATCTCCAGCAAGAATATCAGCAACAGTATCAGCAACAGCAGTATCAGCAACACTACTAACCAGCTATTGAAGCAAGCTCCCAATGCGTCGACGCTATCAACAAATCACGCACACAACGAATCGTCAATTTCCATCAGCTGGGACGCTCAGCAACAGTATCAGCAACAGTATCAAGCAACCGTTCATCTCCAGCAACAGTATCAGCAACAGTATCAGTAACAGTATCAGCAACACTACCAGGAACACTATCAGCAACACTAACCAGCTATCGATCCAAGCAAGCTTCTATCAACAAATCGACAATATCAGCAACGAAGAATCAACGATATCAGCAACGCACGCAACAAATCACGAATTGACGACTCCCATCAGCAGCAGTAATCAGCAGCAACAGTATCAGGAACAGTATCAGCAACACAAACCAGCTAGCGATCCAAGCGTACAAATTGATGATACAGCAATATCAACATTATCAATGCCACTCAACAACATAACCAACAACCGACATTCGTCAAGAACAACATGACAACCAGCCATCTTTGAGTCCCAAGCGTCTGCCTTTGACGAGGAAGCAGCCTTTCAGTTAGAATCAGATGTGGAAACTTTGTTTGAGGATGATGAAAGCTCAAGTGATGAGGAAGTTAATGAAATGGAGCTGGAGCCTAATTATGATCCAGAAGCTTCTGGAATGAGTGGCGAGGAGGCTGCACAAGCTGAGTTCTTTAATGTAATCACTCAGAGTCAACAAACAGCTTGGAATTGGGACAATGCAATTGAGCCTCATGATACTGAGTTCTTCTTTTGGAAAGACGGAACTATTGTTGATAACAGTCTTAATTATCCAAAAGTCCCAGTAGGTTATGAAAGAAAGGAACCAAAGCTTGATAAAGGCRAACCTGAGCATTGGAACAATGTTGATAATCCTGGTGGGTGGCATCCTTATTACTACAGACCCAAGTTTGAAGCAGGTACGGGGAAGTACAAAGGTCACTTCCTGCCTTCTGAGTGTAAGCCTGTTGAGGTTCCTAAACACTTATCTGGTCTTGGGAAGGAACCCATCAGGGAGGCAAAAGGATGGCAGTTTCATTACAATGCATGGGATGGAACAACAGAGGATCCTAACAATGATTTCTCAAGGAAGTATGCTACAAAACACAACATGTTTCCAGATGAGAGGAAGGGAAAGCTAGATATCTTCAAGCTTCAGCAGCATGGGCTCACAAAGGATCGCATTGAGAACGGAGATGCGTTCTCGCATTGAGAACGGAGATGCGTTCTTCTTCTATCAGTTGCTCCTTCCTATTGCTCCCGACTCGGCGGATGCTCAGCGGTACCAAAGTGAACCAGAGAAGAAGTTCACGCATTACAACAAGGTCATGAGATATACCAATGTCTACATCATGGATGCAAATGAAGGGGAAGGACACCAAGTGAAACCTGTAACTTTACCTGAAGTAGTTCATTTTGATGGCATCCTGTTTATGCATGGAGCTTGTGAAGGAGCAAGTGAGAATATAAAGTTTAGATGGGATGCTAAAGATCTTTCATTTAACRAGGACATTGCGAATACAATGACACGCACTAGGTGGCATGAGATCAAAAGAAACTTGAAGCTATGCAAAAACAATGTGCAAAGGGACTCTGGTAATGTAGCTTACAAGTTTGACTTCATCTATCACGCTATCGTGAACAACACCAATTACTTCACGGAGTATGCTGGCTTGGATCTATGTATCGACGAGTCAAGCTGGCCCTACCAAGGCTTTGGTGGTCCACTTGTTGACTACTTGAAAGGCAAGATGATTACAAGGGGTGGACAGACTGTCCTGATGTCAGACGTTGATCAGATCCAACCAAGGGCCTGGAAACATCAATACCGTGGGTGGAAATCCGATGATGATAGGCATTCCTGCACCGGCCCAGCTGAAGTGCATCACCTAGTTGATACGTTTGTTCTTCCCAACATAGGTCCTGGAAAGATTTGGAGATTCCCACCTCATATCACAGCAGACAATTTCTTTCTATCAGATTCCATTTTAGATTGGATGGGTGAGCAAGGCTTGGGCATGATGGGAACCGTTGCTAAGAACAGGCTGCCAGCAAAGGTGCCAGGAAAATATTTTCATAAGAAGAATGCCGCTGGTGATTCAAATGGAAAATCACGAGCCAAAGCAGCGCATATGGCAAAGCCTATCTGCAGTCAAAACTGTACCAGCAGATCTTGAGAAGGGGACAAGAGCGTACCGACGGGTCCATTGTTCATTTCAAAGTACTGGAGCATGCAACTTGGGATCAGTGAACTCTATTTCCTCCTCAACTTTTTACATCCATCAGAAGGAGCGTGGGAGGGGGAAAGAGAAGCGTGTATGGGGCATTGAAATGAATGAGTCTTGTGAGGTTTATCTTTACACGTATGGCAAGCTGGATCATATAGATGCGTACATCTCCAGAGCCAACATTGGTTACAAATTGTGGAAATACTATCATGCAGCAATCAATCATCCAAAGGCGTTGGCAATTGCTACAGCCTACGATATCTACAAGGAGTGTACTGACGGAAGCCTGGGTGATGAGTGGAAACTGAGCAACGTCATGAGCTATYRCRAATTCYRTCAAAGACTRGCTTTGCAAATGATTAAGTATGATCCTGTTGAGCAGGCTTATAACTGTGATACTAGATTGAGGCAGTGTACAAAAGCAACACAAAGAGTAAGAACGGGCAGGGCAACTAGAAGAAAAGCATGTAAGACTTTCCTGAGGAATGGCAAGTTACTTGGATATCACAATTTGCAAACTATCACAGAGTACAAGGCCAAGGGACGGTTTTGCTTCACTCAGACTCAGTATGCAAACCATATGAAGGCAGTAGGGCCTACCAAGTCACAGAATAGAAATATGTGCTACATGTGTGGTGCAAATACTTATAGTATGTGCCACATCTGCAAAGTTCCACTTTGTAATAGCCATTCAAAGAAGAGGAAATGTAATGGTGACCCCATTCAGCCGCCCAAGTTTTGTCACAGTAACTATCACAACTATGAATGGTTTGGGCTTGGCAGGAATGACTACTGCTCAAGAGTAATAAATGACAAGAAACTTAGAGATAGGACTCAGTGGAAGCCTCCAACCAATGATGAGTTGAAAGACAACACTGAGTACATGAAATACTTGTTGGACATCRAGGATGATGAGGAGGACACTGGCTTTGGTGATGGTGATGGTGTTGGTGTTGTTGTTTCACCAAGCAACATGACGGTTAACAGTGAAGTAACTTTACCAACTGAGAATAGTACCACTACTGGGTTAACAAGCTCAGTGGTTGGATCATTAGAATCAGTGTAAACATTAGAATCAGTGTATTAAATGAAATAGTAGTTACATTCTTTCCTCTATATCAGCTATCATACTCCTCCGTATGCAGCAGCTCATTTGGTTGCTTCCTTCCTACGTATCAGCAAACTCCTCCTCCGTATCAGCAGCTCATTTGCTTGTTTCATACGTATCAGCAAACTCCTCCTACGTATCAGCAGCTCATTCGGTTGCTTCATATGTATCAGCAAACTCCTCCGCCCTACGTATCAGCAAACTCCTTTGTATCAGCAGCTTATTTGGTTGCTTCCTTCATATGTATCAGCAAATTCCTCCGTATGCAGCAGCTCATTCAGTTGCGTCCTTCCTACGTATCAGCAAACTCCTCCTCCGTATCAGCAGCTCATTCGGTTGCTTCATAAGTATCAGCAAAATCCTCCTCCGTATCAGCAAACTCCTTTGTATCAGCAGCTTATTCGGTTGCTTCCTTCCTATGTATCAGCAAACTCCTCCGTATCAGCAGCTCATTCGGTTGCAGCAGCTCATTCCTACGTATCAGCAAACTCCTCCTCCATAGTATCAGCAAAACTCCTCCTCCGTATCAGCAAACTCCTTAAATATGAATAGTAAACTCTTTCGGTTGTTGCTTATTCGGTTGCTTATTCGGTTGCTTATTCGGTTGCTGATTTGGTTGGTTGTTATTCGGTTGCTGGTTCTCACGATCCCCCCCTCCTGCTCCTCCTTGGTATGATTCATCTCCTCATAGTCAGCTGAATCAAAGGATAAGCTTCTTCTTTGGTCATACATGGGATGTCCCCACTCATCAAAGCAAAATTCTTTTGCACACTGGATGGAGGGGTTACATTGTTTTCCCTCTTCATTACAGACCTGTATATCTCTAAGAACCACTCGTGCTTGTCACCAACACTCATTGTCGGAGGCGACAGTGGCTTCGTGAATCTAGCAAGCTTTATTGCCTTTGCAAGATCTTTCTTCTTCAAGCAGGTCTTCTTTAAACAGCCAGCACAGGTCTCATTCAGCTCTTTGTTGTATGGCGTTGGCTTTTGGTCCCATTCCCAATCCTCCACCCACTTCCAGTCTTGATTCAATACRAATTGGACCCGTGGTGAGGGGTTGTCTATTATTTCAGGGGGAGGGGGCTCAGGGGCTTCCGGAGGAGGCRCAGAGGGGTCCATAACTATTTGGATCTTCCATCCAACGCCWGGGTCAATTTGTTGTTGCTTTATTAGCTCCATTGCTTCCCTTGCCTTTGATGCTGGATGCCACTTCATCTCCATGTTGTCCTTCACGATTGCAAGCTTCCGTAGTGGCAGCCAGTGCTTGTGAGCACAGGCCTTTGGTCCTTTGTAAACAAGCAACMTGGCTTGGTGTCTTGCCTTCTTTGTTTTTGCTCTCCTCTTTTTTAACTTCACTCTTTGCTTTGGATGAAGGCAGCCAAACAAGACTGCTCCCGTGCGTTGTGGAGGGACTGAGTCTGGAGAGCTCTCGGCGTATTGATATACATCCTTATGGAGGTCTTCGACAAGGAAGTCTGGTGTTTTTAGTGTTGGTTGGTCATCTTGCTTCTTTTGCTTGTTATTTTGCTTATTATGCTGCTCCTTGCTTTTTCCAGCAGTATCCTCCATTTTTAGCAGGGGTGCTCTCCGTCACAGTGTATATTGTTCTCGATTGATTTTAAGAGAAAGAAATGGGATCGATACACCATGTTAAAAGCATGGGGAAATGCTTCCGACACAGTTCCTTCTGATAAATCGAAACAGAACAATTGTATGAAGGAGGTGTGCTGCCAATCTAACACGATTAGTGGCCTAATTTGTGAGCAAGTTTGTCTGTTGAAGTGKAGTGTGTCCATTGTGGGACTGAAATCCGTTGAGTCAAAGTAGTCATTACACGGTAATTAGATGGCCGCTTATCCACGCACACATATAATTTAACCGTATAACTGTTTCAGTCTTGAACTGACAGTTTGGGCAATAACTTTTTCCCCAATGGACGCTTAAGTGTGATAAGCACATGGTTGAAAAGAGAATTGAAAGAGCTTTCTAATGGCGTGTCGGAGTGCGGCGTACAACGAATATTGACTGATATTCGTTTACAAATATCTTGAATTGGGAATGTACGGTTATAACCGTCTTTTTTTGCTTGGCCCACGCTATACGATAATTTAACCATATAACTGTTTTAGTCTTGCACTGAAAGTTTGGGCTGTAACTTTTTCCCCAATGGACGCTTAACAATGATAAGCACATGGTTAAAAAGAGAATTCAAAGAGCTTTTGAATGTGTGAGGGGAGTAGGCAGTCCAACAAATATTGATTGATATATGTGTACATATATCCACCCACCAGAATCACTCCGCCAATGCTATACGATAATTTGCTCTGTCTTAAGCAACTGAAAGAGGTACAGATGCGACCACAACAGAAAAGTTGGTACGGTTGCTGTGTAGAATTCCTACCACAAAATATGTAACACATGTAAGTATGGTGGTAAATGGAGTGGGACCAAATGAAGTGTTATAGCCTATGTAAAAAGCCTACGTATTTTAAGTACTAGGTGACTCGTCCGACCGTTTTGAGATAAAGGATCAGCTACGTTATTCGAGCACGTGCGTTCTACAAGGAAAAAAATAGTACTAAAAAATTACTGTATTTATTGTGATGTCAGTGAAGGCCTATTTTGGCATATATTTTTGTTTT